TTCGTCCGGTATCTCCACTCTGGCCACCTCTGTGGAACGTTCGCTCCGCTTCTGCGGAAATTCCCACCGGCCGGAAGTCCTGCAACTGCTCCTCGCTGCCTGCCTTCCCAACAGAGCACCCCTAAAATTTTTCTAAATAATTTTTTCTATATTTTTATTTTCCCCTGTCAATCTGACCTTTATCTATATCTTACTTATCCAAACCCCATCTAATATCTAATACTCTACCCCTATCCATGTCCATCTTCTGTTCATACCTATCTAACATCATATCTGTAATACGTCCACATGTCCTCCATTAATCTAACTACTACAATATAATATTGATCTATCCTCATATCTCTTATTTGTTTTATGTCCACTACTTTTCTCTTATACCACACTTTATATTCCTGTCTCACACTGTCTTCCACACACATACAAGGCTTATTTGAATGATGATAGTTGGTTTGTACCAGATCTACTATTCTTTGAACTCTCCCTGTCATACTAGAATCAACTGATAAATTAAATCGCTAAGTTTTGCACAATATAAAATTTGCATGCACACCCATGTACGGCTTGTTACTTTCAATCAAAACTGTAACTGATCTGATCAGAGCACTGCCTGTTGGATTTCTTACTCTATTCTCCACAAATGCCAGTTGCACTGTGGTGGATACCGAACAAGGGTCCTCACTTGGCAATCCTTCAGAAAAACAGCTCCAAAGTACTTCCACTGACAACACCTCGGCCAGTTCAATTTCCAAGCCCAGAGTTTTCAAGGACAAAGATGACAGCCGCTTTACTACTTTCATGAATCATCCTGAAATCTCTGAAATAATCAATGAGTACTTTGGATATCTGAATCTTGCCCAACACAAAGAGTATCCAACTATTAAAGATGAGATTTATGAAGTTGTGGCAATGAAACTGTACTGGATAGTTAACACAACGAAAGGTGGCAGCCTTAAAGAAGCAGCAATTCAAAAAGCTAAGAAATGGCTATGCGACTGCTTACACAGATTCGAACCTTATATTCATCTAATCGAGGTATCAGAGTTCAAACTTAACTATATTCCGATCAAAGCATGGAAGTTCCTCATTGATCATTGCGGAACTAGGGAGTTGTGGATATCAAACACTACTATTGACACTGCAGCACTAAACCACCCAGATCTCAGTAAGATGACGGTGTTGCATTTGATTGGTGTTGGATTGACAAAGATGCCATGCCTGTATAATCTCACAGGTCTTAAACACCTCTATTTGGGTGATAATAAAATTAAGCATGTCGATCTTCAAAGCTATTTTGATGCTGAGACGGGTGAATGCAACCCCATGCGAAACTTGGAGTATCTGAGCTTGCGTGGAAATCTTATATTTAATGTTGATGCAAGAATCAAAAAGGTTTTCCCAAATCCATCCATGGAAATATATCTGGATGAGACAGTTTTACGCCACCCGTTTAGCGATGTGAAAGAGAAACTGAAAAAAGAAGGCATCGAACTTACTGGACTAGACCGGGAGAGTGAGATGGATTGGATGTCTCGAACTAATTAAATTGGTCTTTAATACTGATTTAAAACACTTTTATTCACTAATATCCTTCAACCTTTGTCTTCCACACAATGTTATTTGAGACTGCTACTACTGATTTTAGTCCGTGGTTCCTGGCATTGATAAACACGACTTATATGTATGCCAGGTACTTTGTCCATCCACTCGAAATAGAAGAGCCAGCCAACCGCTGCACCCAAGGGTAGTACCATAGCAGTCATTACCAAACAAGAACTGGTGGAGTTACTGCCATACACTCACCAACTTGCCCAGAGAAGACTGCTGCCTAGCCTCAAAGCTAGTTGACTCCTATACTTAGCTGTGTCTCTGCCAACCGACTAAGCCCTCCAAAGACCTGGCTCTAAACTGTCATTGAATTTACGCAACCATATCTTCCATGCTTTTGCTTGTCTCAGTTTTCTATCAATACGATTCTTATGCCATGCTTGTCAGAATACTCCTGAGGGCATTTTTAAGAGCACCCAACTAAAGACAATCACAATCCATCATGAAGAGAATGGCTTCCGAGCCCAAGAAGGTTCCCCAGAAGACTAGGATGGAAAAATATAGACAGATTAAAGAAATCTTCGAGATAATGTTCGAAGACTTACTATGGTAAAGACGCACACTCCCACATCCAAAGCACGAATTGAAGAGAAAGAACTACATTAAGCTTGTAAATTGATTTATTG